AGCCGCATTGGTCGCGCAATGATTCGTCCTAGTTGTTAATAACTTAAATTGATTATTTTGAGTATAACGAAGTAGAATACCTGAATAATTATTAAAAATAAAATAAAACCTCGTGTTGATGCAACCTTTGTTGTAAAAAACCTTATCTTAATACAACATTAGTATTAAACAAATACAACCTTTGTATATTATATAAACACCAAAGAAAATATTACATCAACAAACTAAACCAATCGCAATATGCCGTTACTAGAAACACATCTTGGAAAAATGATCAAATCTACAACTACTTACTCACCCCATAACAAAGTAATTCATATATACATTTTCAATTATACTAAAAATAGTACAACATCATATCGTCCTTTCTTCATTGGCAACCTATAATGTTCTGGCTTCTTTTGCTAGATTTGAGCTAGGTTTAAAGTAACAAATATAATTTCAGTGTTGAATATTGGGTATGTTATGTTAAAGCGGAATTGTCTTGTTTCAGGGGTTACATTTGACATGCGATATTAGAAATCGCCAAATTATTGCTAAAGTTGATAATTTTAGCGTGGTCCAAAACGGTTGAGAAGAAAGACTTTGATGATGTACATGAAATCTTCGCTCGGGTTACATGTGATTGTGATTGGCTTGTGAAGATTGAACATATTTTCTGCGAATATATTTTTGTTGTTGATTAATTATTTGACATTCTCAACTTGTTGTTATTTGCTGCAAACCGTCATGGAGTATGGTTTTATCAGTGTATTCTATCCTGAAACATTTTTAATCTAATTTCTATTGAACTTTGGTCTTCTTGATTATACCAAAAAGAAAAAGAAAAAGAAGACCATGAGAAAAACGAGCACAAGACACAGGAAGACCAAAAACTCCCACATTGTACATGGAGAGACTCACCGTCTTAGTTTCCTACATGGAGAACGGGAAACTGGAGTATGTTGAAAAATGATAGCAGACAAAGCATCAATGCAAGCAATGTCAAACCCCCAAACCTCATCTTTAGAAAATTTATCATCCAGCATGAGAGTTCTTACATGTCTGCCACAACGAGACCTTAGTAGTAACCGATTATGGTTCCAACAAGTCAATATGGTTGGAAACCAGAGTTCCGATTCGACGCAAATGGAAGATTTCCTAGACCATAAGAAGGACTCGTTTCCATCTTTTTGTTCCTGCACCGACATCACCCAGACTTCAAGTAATCCGCGATAAAACTCGACGACCAATGCAAGAGACTCGCCCAATACAGATGGAGTTGCAGTTATAGATGAATCCTGTGTATCCTCTTGAGTATCAGATTCAGCAAGCGGAAGCAAAAGCTAAGAAAAATGTGCTTGGATTTAGGGTTTCATGAAGAACAAGTTTCTGTGAAGTATATTCTGTGTGTATTGTCTCTCAAAATCTGTACAGGGATAATAATACATTAAAGATATATATTGCTGTCTAAAATAATTACTGCTAACTACTATTTACATATTTGCCTCAGTACTATTCATATTTACACAAAAGACCCTCTATACTAGAACTAATATATGTACAACTAAAACCAGAATCTTATCCTGGATCAACCTCCGATTCTTTCTGTGAATCTTTCTCAGAATAGTCTAGATATCCCAGTATGGATGTCTCATCAGGCTAAAGATTTCAGTGGAGAAGTCAAACCCAGGAATCACACTTACTCCAGTAATTATTCCCAACCAAAAGCAGGAACCATTTACAAATACCCCTCCAGCAGCGGCAAGCTTGCGGATCAAACTATGCTCCAGCACACTTTTATCCCATCACCCATTCATATTCCAGCTCGAATCAGGAAGCCTCATGTACTCCCGAATAGTAGGATTACACAAATAAACAGGGCCTCGGGGCGATTTTGAAACGCAAAGGATTCCATTGCAGGATCCATACAAATGACGCGGTGACTCGCACGGTAGTTCTAGATCAGGGGACAAAATGAAGAGAGAAATATTGTTTGGCAGAATACAATAATTACCTTCGTCGTCTTCATCTGGATTGGGAGTCAATAACAGTTCATGGTATCTCTTGGATCCATTGGACGAGCTCCAGCTTCCCAACTGTCGAATGAGGAAGACCGCATTGTTACGGTTGTTCTGGTTGTTGAAATAGTGATTGAGATGCTTTTCCCCAAAAGAAGGTCCCCTCGGATCAAAGAATGCCATGCTTTCGACACACAGCTAAATCTCACCAATGATTTGGCGGGCAGGTTCAGTAGGATGATCTTTGTCCAAATTTCTTCCCGCAGATAAATTCCCTCCATCTATGTACACTGACTTATTTTTTGACTCTGCAAGGAACAACAGAGAAAAATGTCGGACTCTATAAATTTGCTGAAGAAAAAAAATTAAAGCGTAAAATAAGTTAATAGGCAAAACACGCACTGATATATATATATATATATATATATATATATATATAAATATTTATATATATAATACTAATCAACTAAATGTTCTATGATGTTTGACCCTCTTCCAATTTATAGCTCTAGTTCAAGTTAATCAAATCAGGAATAGGAAATATTTTTTATTCTAAACAAGTTTACTTACCTTTTTTATTATACCAAAAAAAAACTTAGATTCCAAATAGACATAGAAATAGGTAATAATCTTTAGGGTGAATTGCAAGAAGGGCCGCTAAATTATGGTAAGTCTCGGTATTTTCACGGCAATATTTAATTGGAAAAATTTAAGTTAAAGGCATGTAAGAATTAAAATTACTTTAAAAGGCATGGGTTTTATTTACCCATAATCTGAATATTTTAAACACTTTTGACAAAGCGAAAGACGAATGATAATTTTTTTGAGATCAACCTGAATATTACCCTAACCTTTTTGAGATTTTCTTTTCAAAGATAAACCTACCTTCTGGAAAATGAACAATTTGGTGATTGATTTTGTTATGTGGGTGGATCCATTTGAGTGATAAGGATTATTGCAACTAAACTTTCGAAAGATGGTAGAATTATTCTGATATGGCCTATAATAATTACAGGGTTTTTTTTTTTTTTTTGTATAACGTACCCGGTGTATGAAGTTATTGCTCCGACTAAACTGGATTCGACCCGGATAGGTCATTTTCGGGAGACAAAACTCTCTCAGCAAGTATTTTAGTTCAAGAAAAGCATATAGATTAAATTAAAAATAATTATACAGAAGAAAAAATTATGTAGAGAATAAGAAAATATGGAAAAAATAGACATTATAGTGAAAAATAAAATAATTATTAAAAAAATTCAAGTAATGAAGCTTTAAGAGCGGCCATCAAATTTAGAAAAAAAGGGGATAAAGATTATGCAATCAAGAAAAAAAATGAAGTAAGCACTACATTATAACAAAATATATAAACAAACTTTTAAAGAAAAGTTGCAAAAGGTATATAAAGAGATGAAAAATAAAAGTAATTTTATAAAAAGAAATAATGATAAAAATTTCTGCAACAGAGAGAGTTTAAAAGATATGACACATTTCCGCATAAAAATATTTAGACAATTATTATGAAAAGTTAAGAAAATACTTTAAAAAATATAAAACCATAAATCAACACAACTGAAAAAAAATTGAAAATAAGTTACATTGGATGAAATCGAATATTGAAAAAAAAAATCCAAGAACGTACTTAAAATAATTAAACATATTGACTACAAAAATTACATAATTGTAATTTATATAATTAATTTTTTTTACATATATCACTCAGCCAAAAATATTATATAATTATTAAATCATTAAACTCATATATATTTTGAGCAACCACACAACATGCGGGATAAACATAAGTATAATACTCCATCTGGTCCTTAATATAAGAAATTTTGATTTGTCATAGGTTTACTTAGTATACATTTTTAAATGACAAAAAAATCTTCAAAATATTTCATAACAATCAAGAGAACACAACGAATAACAATATATATATATATATTTTTCTCAATTAACAACATGTATTAGATGAAACTTAAAACAAATTAAAATGTCTTATGTTATGATTCGGATGGAGTATAATATATTCACTATCTATATGATTCATCAATAAAAAATGAAAAATCTTTTTTACTGTACATAAATTTGAACAAAAGATACTTTCAAAACAGTGCATTCTTGAAAGAAAAGCCCATAAAGATATTGTCATAAAAAAGGCAGGACCAAATGGTCCGGGGAAATGGTGACTACAAGGATGCTGTTACTGATCTATGGGCCAGAATTGGACTTTATGTAATTTCGACTTGCACTAGTTTTAGCATCAAATTTAAATGTTGATCAGCATATCCAAGGCTGGGAAAAAAAAAAAAACTGCAAATTTTCATTGAAAAAGTTTTTCATACTTTGGTTCTTGTGCTAAAAAAAGTGCAATATAGCGAATTAAATTTCAGTCTAGGGGCGGAAAGAGTTGATTTCACTCCGAGTAGTGCTGATTGCAAAATGCTTAATTTATTTCTTGCAAAATGCAAAAGATTATTAGACCTCATACTCATATTAATATTTTACAAAGAAGTGGGACTTTATGTTTTGGAAAATCATTGTCGAAAACAGCGGTAGCTACCTTGGCTACCTAATCTGATTCATCCTCAAAAAGACTAGGAAAAAGGAAAAAACAAAGAAGAAGATGCTGTGATTTACCTAATCTTGTTTTCCTTTACACAATTTTCCATAAGTTAGCCTATGAAAGCTCCAGTGTTTTGATTCCGTTTAATCCTTCATTCCCTGGTAAGTTTTTAACTTTTTGTATACCAATTATGAGAAAAATCGCATATGGAGTGTTGTTTAAACTACCAAAAATGGAGCTTGAAAAGGGTTTCATTTCTCCAATCAGAAATTGGTTATAAGATTTGGGATACTTGCATAACACTTAAGCAGAAACTAGTAACAAGAAGGCAATACATTAACATCAATTGAAACCAACATTTCATCAAACCCTCCCAAAAATACAGGAATCCAAAATACTGTTCTGTACAAATACATAACTTAGCACTAAACCACATGACCTTTCATTTTCTCAAACAGTTTCAACACCACCAACTCCACCTTCAAAAGCAAAAAAGTTAAGGCCAAATTTTATAAACTATACAGAGTTGCATTTTAGAAACAGAGGATTTGCTATAATTATTAATAAAACGGTCACAAACTCAAAGGATAAAAAAAAAAGCAAAGTATGGAGCGTAAGTTCGTGTGGAGACAGGAAAACAAAGTGATTCATAAAAAGCAGAATGTTAATTGCGTTATGGAATTTCATCATGGTCCATCTTCCCCCATATAAAAATTGCTTAAATTCCCATTTGGTATGTTGCTGCTTTCTTCTGGTCAAATTTTTCTTCAAGAAACGTTCACACACTTTTTTCAAAACAGGGGATCCACTTTGTTAGAAAAGAAAACATAAAATTTATTGCTACAATTGTGCGATCAATCAAGAACAATTATTTATCCAAAAGGGAGTTTTTTTTTTTTTTTTTTGTTTCTTCTTCCTTCATTGCCAATATGATTTTGAGAGCTACCTTATCAAACACCAAGAAATTCTTCCAGAAAAGCGTTGAGAATTTCAAGTCATTTCTTTCCGGGGGATACCAAAGGCTTCCCAAGAGTTCTCCATGTCATTCCTTCCCCTGCGGCGGCGGTGCCGGCGGTGCCGGAGGTGGGAGCATTCATGATCATCATCATCAAGTCAAGTACAGCAGAACCTACGAAGAACTGGGCAAATTCAAAACAGAGTGTTTGAATGATCAACAAGCTAACAAGCTGGGATCAAGAACAGCAAGTAAGAAGAAAGACGCATTCAAAGCGGCTGAAATTCATCAAGCTGATCAGAGTAAAGAGAATCAAAGGAAGAAGAAGATTGTGTATGAAGGCAAGAGATTTTACCAAGATTATGCAAGACCCACAAACAGAATGCTGAAAGAAAAGGAAAAGAGCACTTATTTGGTGGCTAAAAAGCTCAAGGATTTGGAAATGCTGGACAATGGGAACGTGGAACATGTGTTGGACATTGAAGAAGTTCTCCATTACTATTCCCGGTTGACTCTTCCTGCCTATGTTGACATTGTTGATCAGTTCTTCACGGACATGTATTCAGAGCTGTTGAATGGGCAATCATCAACGGTAACCTCAAAGCTTAAGAGTTCATCCAGGCCAATGCTTCAAAGGTTTGGCTTCTGATTAATCAGGGGAAAATGATGAAACTGAGCTTCATTCAGCTAATTCATTAGTCCAGCCTTTGCTTTTGATTAACAGTTTGTAATTCCGAGTTTTCTTGAATTACTTGATCAACTGAATGTGAAATCATGGGTTTTGAGCTCTTTCTTGTGACTTGTGAGCTTAGCAGTCTCATTCTGGATTTCAAAGTCATTTTCATATCTATTATTTGGTGTACTGTAGCCTGATCAAGCTTCCTGCGGTGGAATGCTAAATTGTAGCTGTTCATTCCTACATACGATGTAATAATGTCTGGTACAGAAATTACTTTGTTCATGCTTGCTCTGAGCATTGTGGCTTTAATTTGTGCTTTATACCTCAACAATTTTCTTGTTCAAGTTCGAAATGGTTACGCCCATACTATTATTTATTACATTTTGTATTGTTCCAATTTTATCGGATGTTTGCGGAAAGGATTAATCTTTGCCAATATTTCTGAGCAAAACAGACTCTGATGTTACTAGGTCTTTCTGATGCTACCATGGCTTAACCATAACTCTCTCCATACATCTGATTCTGAAAATCGGACTAGATTCCTTGAAGATTGTAATGCATGTCAGTCCAATTCGAGGACATTTCAGGATCCAGGGGAAACCTGGGCTACTTCCAAAAAATTGGCTTATTACTCTATGAGATCATGAAGCCTAACACTATTCATGGGCTGGGCCAACTGGAAAAACTGATACACTTTTGGTCTCCTCAAAGAATTAGACCAAAGCTGTTTTGTTCATAAGCCAGTTACCGGACTGCAACTCGTTTCTCCCCTGCTCCCTAAACTAGCGACTAATCATTCCCTTCCCTGCGGTCCGAAATGGACACGGGGATGGAGGATCCAGCATCAATGAATCATCATAAAGACAATCCAGCCACAAGAAAGGTCAAAAATAGAGATCCAGAGGCCATAATTTCCAACCCCCCAACGGATCATAGCCAAAATGCAGCCTCTGCTGCTCAAATAAACGCAGCTGCTGAAGGTATTCCCTCATTCAGAGATCGTTTGCTTCAAGGACAACATGGCGTGAATAGTTTCCACATGAGCAAAGTCACGGTGGAAGAAGAAGATGTGACTTACGGCTTGGAAGACGGGCTCCCCTCAACCAGATTCTCCAAAAGAGTACACAAACAAATGGAAATTGCCATGACATACACCATTGCAGTTAAACCACTAAGCGGAGAATTCAATCACGACCGGTTTTACAAGAGATTGAAGGGTCTTTGGAAGACAAAAGGAGAAGTCAAACCGGTGGTTATAATAGATGGTTATCACCTAATGCGAGTGACCAATGAGGAGGATTTTCATTCCATACTGCTCAATGCCCCTTGGTCTCTTGACGAACATTATATTATGGTTCTACCCTGGAATAAGCAATTCAACCCCAAGAAACAAAACATAAGCGTAGTGACAGCTTGGCTCCGTATTCCAAGACTATCAGTAGATTATTTTCATGAAGACTTGCTAAGAAGTGTAGCAAAGTCACTCTGGTAAAAAAAAAATTTTCTGTTTGTTTTTTGAGGTGAATTTTATTTTCCATCATGTTGCAAATTAAAAAAAGGTGTAATGAGACACTACTAAACAGAGAGTCATAAACTATTGATCGAAGAAATCAATCATTTAATTTTATAATATGAGTGCATATAACAATTGATAATCCCAAAATGATAAACAAGTAAATAACAAAGATAATCTAAAGCCAAACTAGTTGGGCGACAATAGTTTTGGAATTCATGGGGAAGAACAAAAAAAAAAATTTCAAAAAATCTTGGTCTTCTTTCAGGATATTCAAACCCTAGCAGCACCTTATCTGTTGGGAAAAAACAAATACTAAGTTCGTTTCGGTCGGGTCTCGGGTCAACCGACCTAATAAACAGGCCTACTTCATACAATTAAATAGAAATAAAAGTTATTTGCACCAAATTCGAATTAGCACTATGTTGGATCATCCATCGGTAAATTTCTCACCATCAACTTATATATGATCAGTCGTACTGATTTTAGGGTAATGAGAGTTTTTTTTTTTTAATGTGAAAAGAGGCTTCAAGCCGAAAAGATTACACAACTACATTATGGGAGTATGAAATCCTTACAACATCATGCCGTAGCTACAAAAACAAATACACACAGTTAAAAACTTCTACTATTATCTTTCCAATAATAACAACTTTCAATTACATATTCAGCCAAAACCGTTATTCTCATCCTTTAAGTTTAAGGTTTCTTTGAAGCAGACATTTGACAAGTCCATGAAACCTTGTAAACTTTGCGTCGTTAATCATGATGACGATCGTCAACCTTTAATATCATTACAGTCAACGAGTACTGCAAAAATGAGTATAATAAAATAAATTAAACTTTTTTTAAGACAAACAAAATATTATGTATTTAGCGTCTACGTATAGTTGTTATTATAGGGGAAAATAATTTTATTTCCCCATCCAACTTGGCCATTTCCCCTTTTGTCTGCGGAAGTAGCTAGTTTGAATAGCTATCTCGCTGAAACCACTTGAACAAGTAAAACACATCTAAATTAGCTAGCATGCACTAGAAAAATAGAGCTATCCATGGTCTTCTAAGTAAGGGTTTGTACTATTAGTTTGAGGTATGTTTTCAGATAAACGAATTTTGTAAGGGATTATTTGAGTTCGGAAGGATTGCAATGTCTTCTTAATCCACCTGCGGAGATTAGTCAGTGACTGTGATACGACCTAGTTGAGATCTCCTATTCACATAGTGTCTTGATTTTTGGTTCTTAGGTTTCAATATCTTTCATTGTACTAATCAATTTAATTTTTTTAACTCAAAAAATTAATTATAAATGAGGAGAGATGCATGGAAATCTTGCTAACAGATTTGTTTGTTTAACGAAAAATGACGGCATAATCTCAAAATTATAAATTGCGGTGTCTGTGGAAGTAGGATGAGTATAAATGTTGCCTTTCTTGAAAAGGAAGAACAAACGTACGAAGACCACCAAATTGAATACATTTTCAGTTCAAGAAAACCTTAAGTCAGCCGGAAAAAGGTTCTTACTGAAACGAATAAATTCCAGGGTAACAAGAATTACTGTGACAATGCATGATATTTTCAGTTCAACTCGCTTGATTTCCAGTCGATTTCTTCTCAACTTAATTGTAATACTCCCTCCGGTCCTTAATATAAGACATTTTGATTTGTCCAAGATTTCACATAATACGCATGTTTAATTGATAAAAAAATCTAAAAAATATTTTCTAACAATCAAGAAAACACAATGAATGTGACAATATATATTTTAAAATTTTATTCAATTAAAAATGCATAATAAGGGAAAGACAAATTAAAATGTCTTATGTTAAGTACCGAATAATACTACTGAATGTACACACTCTACATTTCAAAACTAATTAAAGCAGAAAACAAATTAAACATACTTCTTTTTTGTTAATGATAGGAACTTCTTTCTTAGTCTTTTTCCAGAAATTTTATCACTCCTGCTATATACTTCCCTCTGTCTGAAAATGATTCTCCTCCAGCTAAATTTAAATTTATTATATAGTTCTACTAAAAATAGAAATTTAGTTGCACCAAAAAAATTAAAAATTTAAACCAGACAATCATATCGCGATACAAAGAGTAACACAATATTTATAAACCGGACATAAAAATCATTAATAATAGATCATTTTCTTTTGCTCGTGAAAATTATTTATTTCACTATTAACGTAAAAGAATTAAAGAAAAAAGTGAGTTATGTATTTTAACAGGGAGGGAATAATTTTTTTCAACAGAAATGAGACCATTGATATAATTACCCTTAATTCTAAACAAAGATTTTTAAGAGCAGACATTTACTCCAAGCCATGAAATCTTGTTTGCGTCACGATGATGATCGTCAAATTTTTACTTCAATCACCAGTTGGCCACTAGGGATCGTAGCTCCTAGTCCTAATAAACAGTTGTCTTTAAAGGGAAAATAGAACTTTTACTGCTTTTCAACTATAGCCTTTCTTTCCTGATGTCTTCCTTGGTGATTAATCTTAGGTAGGTTATTTGATGGACTAGCTAGCTCGTCGCCTCAATATTTTGGAAGTGCACTAGTCAGTTAACCTTAATGTGGGCATCTTTGTGAAAGTAGGATCAGGGTTAATAGTTGTCTTCTTTTTTCTTTTTTTCTTTTTTTTTGGTACAAATTGTTGTCTTTCTTGAAAAGCAAGAACAACATAGACCACCAAATCAATGCATTTAAAAATTCAATGCAAAGAGATCTTAGTCAGCTGAAAAAGGGTCTTACTTGACAAACAAAATCCATGTAAGAAAATGAAAGTAAGGACGCATGTATTGGAAAAAGATGATTCTCTGCTTATAAGCAGTTGATGAATGTGATAAAGGTATTGGACCAATGTAACTATAATCTTAATTTTTTAACTATGACATAAACATGTAAGAACTATTAAAATATTTGTTATGAGATTAAGAAATGAACTTATTAAACTAGAATAAAAATAAGTAAGACAGTGATTTCAAACATCGGGTGTATTACACAAAAGAAGGATTGTCTCTTTACCCGTTGTCAACTACTTAAGGCAGCGTGGATCCCTTTTTTTTTTTTTTTTTTTCTTTCTGAAATACTAACTTCCAAAAGTTAGAAACATCAACCTAAATTTCAAATGATAAGAGAGATCTATAGAGCACACCAAAGATTTTTGAACACTTTTTGATGATCACTTCCTAGAAGTTGGAGAAGATTCCTCCAGTATATATATTATCAGATTCTCTCTCTCTCTCTCTCTCTCTCTCTCAGGGTGAAGAAGACAGGAGCACTAAAAAAAAGTTGCAGAATGGAATAGCCCTTCTTGGTTCTTCCCCATTGTGGAAATGATTCACCAACACATGCTTCTTTCTCTCTTAGAGATGTAAAAGCAGAATTTCAAAGGCCCCCTTCTTTGTAAGAAAATATCTCCTTTTCTCTCAACTGTCAAAAACACTCATCTCCCTGTCATCATGATTCAATCTCTCTCTCCAACTCTGTATGAACCGAACAAAGAAGATTCCCTTATCATGTATATTTAGTAAAACACGTGGTGTAATTTTTAGCCTAATCTATATAAGCATTTGCATGCTTTTTGTACTCGTGTTGATTACGGATTCGTTGGGAATTCGTTTGTTTTTCTGTTCTTCTTTTTATCTTGGGATTAAGACAGATGTGAAATTAACTTCCATGATATATGACTGCATCGATTCAGGATTCTGATCTAAGTATATATGGTTAAGTTCTGACACAACATTGCTAGCAAGTTAGCTAGTAGCCAGCCAGGTTTTACTCCAAGTTGTTTGGGGCGTGGAATGATTGAGATGTCCACTTGCAAAGGAAATTTGGCAGTTCCCTCTGAAAGGAAAGTAAACTTAAAACCGAAAGTTGGTAGAGTTATTTGAAACTTACATCCACTTGTTTAACTTTTATACTCCGACATGATAAAATGCACCCCTAGCCATAGTTCAAAAATAGGGGTTCGGATCACCTATCCAAAAAATTCCTTGTCCAAACCTATGGCAAAACTATATAGTTTTTAATGGAACT